TTTTTTCTCTGAGGTGGAGGTGTTTCCAAGGGGTGCTATCATGGGCTAACTTTTCTGGACCCATTCGGGAAATTGAATATTGTCATAAATTCCAATCGGTGAAAGGACAAACTTAGCGAGAACAACACGACCGGCGAGGGCAAAATTCTTACCCTTCCATCCCCCAAAAGACATGCACCACTATCAGTAAGAGGCGGAAAGTGCACCTTCATACGCTTTGTGAAGTGGAGGTGCAACCCCAAATATTTATATGGAAAGGTAACTTGGGTTGGAGGTGGTTCAACATCTCCTTGTTGAGATCCTTGTATTTGATTGAGAATATTTTGCCTTGTCAATATTTGTGAGCAAACCACTAGCCTCACCAAAATATTTAATGTTTGCCACAATTGCCCATCACTACATGTTTAGCATAAATGGACTCATCTTTCCATATAAGGACAACCTACATAATAAAATCCCAAGAATGAAAAGACTTCAGAATATCAGATCAACCACTCTCAAGAGGAGATTTTATAGCGGCTTGATGGCCACGACGAAAAATAGGGGGAACAATAGGTATCCCTGCTGAAATCCTTGAGAATGATCGAAGGCAATGCTAAGTTAGCCATTCAAGAGCAACCTAGAAGACAAATGATGCAAACATAAGACTAAGCCAATCTCTAAAATCTCGCATGAACCCGTGGGTAGCCATGACCTCGAGGAGAGAAAGCCAACTAATCAAGTCAAACACTTTGAAAATGTCAAGCTTGATGAACAACTTAAGGATTTCTTTGCAATGAAGATTTACGCACATGTTCTGGATATGTAAAAAGTTGTCATGGATGGATCACCAGTTCATGAAAGCACTACGGTTGATTGAGACAAGGTCTCAAAAAATATAGGATGTTTGCATCGCAAGGAGCTTACAGATGATTGGAGCAAAGCTTTGGATTAGGACAACATGTCTAAAATGCTCCAGCCTCGATGCCCCATCTTTTCTTTGGTAGCAACACAATATTGGTTAAGTTAAGGAACCTTAAGCAGGTACATGTAAATACACCACCTGATGGGAGGCATTGATGATATCTAGTTTAATGACTTTGCAATATGTTTTCAATAATAAACCACTAAATCTATGTGGCACTAGGGTCTTTCTCAGAAGGCACTACAAACACATCATCTTTTATTGCATCCTCCTAAAAGTAGCCTAAGAATGGTGAAATCCAACAGAGATTATCCCAAGGTCCCCACTCAAGATCTCTCCCACAATAGAAGGTTGAGCGTACAAGAATTACGAAGTGTTCAAAATTACTCTTTGTGTACCAGGCGAAACAACAATGCAAAGTTAAGACATTATGACAAAAAAAAATGGCATTGACTTTTTGATCAATGGTGGAAGAACTACCAATTGGTGTCTCACACTGCATCTAATTGACTTTTCACTCGGTGGTGGAAGAACTACCAATTGGCGTTGCACCTTCGGACTACCACTTGTCCTACAGATACATGGTTAAGATCACTTGTTAGCTCATATTCATTATTTGAGAGTAAGAAGTTTTCTTAGCTGGTGATAAGTATGCCAATAACCTCTATAGTAACAACCAATGCATGTGACGGTAGGGAACACCTGTATTTCCATTATTTTGAGGCAATTCATGATCTAGATACAATAATAGAGTAAAAAAACCAAAGTGAACATGAGCAACAAAAATGAAGTAAAAAGATCCTCTCAAATTGTTCCAACGTAGCCTTTGCATCTTGGGCCACCACCAAGCCTCTAAAAAGGAAACTATACAATATCAAAGTTATAGATGCTAGACTAACTTAGAAGGCTTCAAAGAACTACATTAGTCTCCTACCTCAAGATAAGGCATTAACCTCAAACTATTGAACACATCGTGGTTGATGACACCCCACACAAGGCTGATGAACCATACACTTCATAGTCAAACTACCCAAGAAGAAGATCAAGAACGTGAAATGATATGAGCGAATCAAAGGCCACATCAACCTCCATGCCATGGCCATGACATATTGGCATGTCAAACCACAAAAATTGAAGCTTTGGATCTATGGAACTTAAACAACATTTGCTATTCACTTTGGCTATCATGGAGCCCATAGTCATTTGAGACTGATTACATGCATATGCACATACTCCACTCCACAACGACCTATTTTTGTACAGAGTGGATCACTGTTTTGGCTCGTCAAGCTAGGCCACTGACTGCCACTACCCTTATCTGTCATTTGATCCATACCCACATAACATAGATCGGTTAACGAGAGAGAAAGCCTTGCCCATTCTGCACAACCTTTATTTCCTTCCACCTTTTCAGAACAACACCATTGCCATGCTACATCATAAAAATGGGGTGAATCCTAGAAAAATAGTAAGGCGGGACTAAACCATTGCCATGCTACATTATAGATGCTACATCACTGCCTCGTTGGCCCACACCCTAACACATCGCTAGCACCATATGTATGTTACAATACAAGGTTTAACAAGTAGATCTTTCCGCGACCGGAGTTCAGACACGAGAGGTAAAAACAATAAACATGATCATTAGCGAGACGTTTTCTAGGCGGTTGGTAAGCTGTAAGGTGTGCAGGTTGCCAACCCGGGTTTGATCCTTTTGATCGACATGGTGTGTCCATGTCTACAGAGGAGTCCATGCCTATGTGTTCAGTGGGACATGCATACCTACACTCTAGAGGCTTCATTGTGTTCCATCAATTTCCCTAGCCGATGGTGCAAAATACCGCCAGATCCCTCGGTAGGGGTCCAAGCGTAGCTAGAAGTTTTGAGGTGATCTGGGGCGCGGACCTAGAAGCAACCCGGGTTTAAAACGCTTGATTAATAGTTTTCAAATGAAAAGATCAACATTTCTTGAATACATGGTCAGCATTTTTTTATACACATTTAATATTTTCCAAACACTTGATTAACATTTTTGAAACACTTGTTCAACATTTTTTAAGTGCTTGTTTAACATTTTTATATACATAATCACATTTTTCATCTTTTTTAATACATGGTCAACATTTTTTTATGCACATTTAACATTTCCCAAAAGTTTGATTAACATGTTTCAAATACTTGTTTAATATTTTTTAATATGTTTGATTAACGTTCCTATATACATGACAAAAAGTTTCATCATTTTTTAATACTTGATCAACAATTTTTCTATACACATTCAGCATTGTCTGAATGCTTGTTCAACATTTTTCAAATACTTGTTCAACATTTTTGACATAAGTATTCAAGATTTTCAAATAGTTGTTCAACATTTTTCAAATGCTCGTTCAAACTTTTTCAAATATATTTTTAATATATTTCAAATATATTTTGTAGAGTATTTTTGCAATATATATATATATATATATATATATATTGAATTTTTTAATGCATAAACAAGAGTGCAAAACAAAGAAAAAAGGAAAACCGAAAACAAAAAAGGGGATGTGGCTTCCTGCGCTTGCGGGCCGACCCATCTCACTCGCCCTTCAGCGAGTCGAAAGCTGAGAGCAGCTAATTGAGGAGTGCTCATTCGGAAGCCTCCCAAGGGTCACTTGGGGTGGGCTGAGAGCGGGCCGCCACATGGCGCGGCGTGCTTCGGGAGCTCCCTCTGGATTTTTATTTTATTTTTTGCACGTGTTTTCGACTCTTTAGATGTTTTTTTCCTGGTTTTTCACCGGTCTTTCTTACCTTTTCGACAACAAAAAATAGAATTATCTTAACGCGTTTTTTTCTTGCACGAAGTTGTGCCTCTCGGAAAGCAAAAAAAACACGTTTCTTTTCTTTTTGAGAATTTTTCATTCATATCACGAAATAGTACAAAGTAGTTGACCTTTACAAGCACACTGAAACGCAAACACAAGGAACCATGAACACCTAGAGTACCCTAAGACAACCATAACACAAGAAGATCTCCGGAGCGCTGTGTCATCATCCCTGAATTTTGAGAGAAGACCCCTGCAGCAAAAGGATCTGCAACCAGTCGCAAACAGGTCATCATCTTCGACCACGGTACAATTGTCGCCACGCTGCTTCCTCCTTTCTTGACACCAGCGCCGTCGCCATCTTTGGCTTTGAGTACCGCGAAAAGTGTCCCTTCCGGAAGGAAGAGAACTCGAGTCATCCGACCGGTCCAGCACCGCGGCCTGGCCATCCGCTCGGGCAAAGCAGGATCTCCCAACAACATCATCGCAGAGGAAGGAGAAGAACAACAGCAGGAAATCATACCAACAAGGAAGAAGAAAGGTCTTCATCTCGCTGCATCCATCACCCATCCGAGGACCCAAACGGCCAGTGCCGATGGACCTCCAGCCACCATAGCCCGCGACCTCGACGAGATCTGGGGATCCCCAACCCCACTGGCTCCTAGACGAAGGCAAAGCCTCGCCTGACCGTGAACGGAGCCCAGAGAAACTTATTCCGACGCGACACGACCGCAACGGCCTCAGCAGCGTCTCCCTCAACCCTAACCCTACCACACACCCACCTAGCGAACAGACCCGAGGTTCCTCCTCCCTCCCGCCGTCGGACCGGCCGACGGAGAGAGAGGGAACCGGCGGCGTCACCGCCGACGCGCAAGGGAACCCTCGTCGCCTCCTTGATCGCCTCGTGCAATCCTACTTTTCCGGCAACGCGGTTTTTTTTCTGTGAGAGGCATGGTTTTGCTTCTCCGAGAGGCACATATGTGCCTCTGAAAACGGGAAAACCTGTTTTTATTTCTTATTTTTTCTTTCATGAGAGGCACGTCGTGCTTATCGAAAATGGAAAAAAAAACATGTTTCCTATTTTTTTCCTTCGATGAGAGGCACTAGGCCATTTTGTAAATAAAAACAAGTCAGCCCATGTCCAGTCCAAACGAAAACGAGTCGGCCCATCATCTGCTCTCCCTGGGCCCCACTCGTCAGCCGATTCCACCAACGCGTCACAACCCAACTGCGTCCCCATCCCCTCCCCTCTGCCACCAGACGAGAGGAACGGCGAAGCTTCGCCGGCCGCCATGTCGCCGCCGTCGCTCTGCGCCGCGCCTCCCCGCGCCGGCTCGCCCCCGCCCCCTCTCCTGCGCCTCCGCCGCCGCGCGGCCTCCTCCGTCTCCGTCGCCGCGTCGCGCGCGGCGGCCCCGTCCGTCTCCGACGACCTGGTCCTCCGCATCGCCGAGCAGCTGGAGGACTCGGCGCCCGCCTCGCCGCTGCTCGACCCGCTCCGCTCCGCCTCCGCGCTCTCCCTCCTCACCACGCCCTGGCCCACCCGCCGCTCCAACGAGGCCTTCCGCTTCACCGACATCTCCTACCTCCGCTCCCTCCCCATCTCGACGCCCACCCGGACCCCCGGCCTCGCGCCGCCACCGCCCTCCTCCGACCTGGAATCGCACGTCCTCTTCTCCGACGGCCGCCTCGTCGCCGCCTCCGGCGCCCACGTCTCCGCCCTCGCGGACATGCCCCCCGGCCACGCCCGGGACCGGGCGGCCGCCGCCGTCGCCGCCTCCGCGCGGTTCTCCCACCGGGACATCTTCTACGACTTCAACGCCGTCGGCGCGAGCGACGTCGCCGTGGTGTACGTGCCCGAGTGGGCCAAGATGGCCGACGACCCCGTCCACATCATGTTCGCCTACAGCGGCAGCGACGGCGCTAGCCTGATGATGTCGAACCCCAGGGTTCTGGTGATAGCGGAGAAGGGGGCGGAGGTCGCCATCGTCGAGGAGCATTTCGGGGTCGGGGAAGAGGACGGTGGCTGCTATTGGGCCAACCCGGTGGTGGACATCATAGTGGAAGAGGGTGCCAGAGTGGTTCATTCCTATGTGCAGCGACAGTCACCCGCTGCGGCGCATACCAAGTGGACCACCGTCCAGCAGGTGCGATCATCTTATGCATTTTGCACTAATTTTATTTGATTATGGGCTTTACATAGATGTTGTGTGAAAGGTTGCTTGAGCTATATAGTTATTTAACATTCAGCTAGGACAGTGATCAGTGCCGATGAGAAATCAATTATGGAGAGACATGGTTGCACTGGGTTAAATGATTGTAGGGGGCAGAGAGCACACTAAATGTCTGATGATCCTTTCAGCTATATATTGCAATTGAGGATAATCCTGTTTTCAACTGTTATCCATTGTTCTAGCTGTTACGAGTATCATGTGCTTGCATTCAGTGTAGGAGTAGGATAGTCAACAAGTTAGTCAGAGAACTCGCTCTGCAGTAACACAAGCTGGTCAGTGAATTAGCAACTAATAAAACCAAATAGATCTCCTGCAAATTTACATTTCAGAGTAATGGTTTCATATCTTAGTTCATTGCTATCACTATGAAATTGGACATAGCTTGATATATTCCTAGTTTCTACTCATTACTAATGTGTTGCTATTTAGATTAAATTAGGATTTAGGGATAAACATGGTCGGGTTTATTCGGTTGATTGTACCGGCAGTAATTACTTCAATATATGATTGTTTCACTTAAATCTGAACTAGTCATCTTCACATCTATGGAGATGGCTGTCATAAGGTCGAGGACCACATAATATGGATCAGTGAGGACGCCACTAAAGTCTCTTAATTAGCAGCACCAGCTGCAATTTAGGCAACATCTGATGCTTTGAGCTGTATTCCAATTGTGGATAATCTTGTTACACCTTTTGTCTACTGTTCTAGTGGTTGTGAGTATCATGTGATTATGCTTGCTTTCATAGTGTAGGTGTAGGATAATCAACAGGTTAGTCAATGAACTCGGTATTCAGTAATACTAGATGCAGAAGGATAATATGATCATTTGAATGTGGAAAGACGAGGAACATATTATAGTCAAAATAAAATGAGGAATATGTGAAGTTTCTATATTTGGTGCCTTGGTATTGCTTTAATTATCTTGAATTTGCTACCCATAAAACCATATAGACCCCTTGCAAATTTACATTTCAGATTAATGGTTTCATGTCTTAGTTCATTGTTTTCACTATGAAATAGGAATAGCTTGTTGTATTCCTAGTACCTACTCAGTACCGAATGAGTTGCTATTTTGATTTGATAAGGAATAAACATGGTCAGATACTAGACTTATTTGGTTGATTGTAGGGGTGGCAATTACTTCAATATATACTTGTTTGAGCTGAAATCTGAACTAATCATCTTTACATCTGTGGGGATAGCTGTCATAAGGTCGAGTAGGACCACAGAATATGGATCAGTGAGGACGCAAGTAAAGTCAGTGTTAATTAGTAACCTGCTGCAGTTTATTCAATGCCTTCATTTTTTGGGCTTGCCATCCATGTAATGAAGCAGTTATCCTGGAAACTAAAATTTTGGAGTTATTCTGGTTTTGGTGTTATATCCTCTGAAAATGGGGTACCAGAAAGCGCTCACTTTGTTTCTATTCATGCTGTTGCCAAGTTTATTTTTCTGACTGTATGTAAAGAGTAGGTATGCATATTTTTGTTTCAGTACTCACGACAAATGCTGCATGTAAATAAGGTTTTATATAAAGATGATTCGAAATGGATATTATCAGTCTCATTACTTTTGTTTTTTTCCTTTTGCAGAATACATCTAGTAAATATGAGTTCGTTGAGGTCAGCACCGGAGCAAGACTGAACAGGCACAATCTTCACATCCAGCAACTGGGTCCTGAGACAGAAACGGAATTATCAACGTTTCACTTAACATCTCAGAATAAGCAGATTCATGATCTGCATAGCAGACTAATACTTGATCACCCCAGAGGTTTTTCACGACAGCTCCACAAATTGATTGCTTGTGGTACAGGAAATGGTATTTTTGATGGAAATATTCAAGTCAACAGGTATTTGGTCAGACTCTTCTCATTTATTAACCTTTTGTATTCTGATAGAAATCCTTACAGTATCATTGAAACATCATTTGAGAAATGTTATTTCTGTAGTACCATCTTACTAATGCTATGTGAATTATTTGGTAACATACATATCTCACTGTTGTTGAAAGAGGCCTTGGTAAGATTAGTTTCTGTAGTTTCATGTTCTTAGAACATTGTATTAGTTTTTCATAAAAGATGCTGTACACTGATGAAAATTCAAGCAAGCTAGCAGAAGCATGTTTTTGGTTGTAGTCTTTGTAGGCTTCTAGCTGTAGCAGTACAAAGCAATGAATATAACATTTTACTAGTTTAGGAAATATAACATTTTACTGTCCCTGTAAAATAGGACCTCGCAAGATTGTCTTTTGCAGTGTCATGTTAATGTGGAATACTGCAGTAGTTTAGATTAAAAAGGTGTATACTGATGAAAATATTACAAGTAAACTAGAAGAAGCATGTTTTGGCTGTAGTCTTGTAGATATTACAGTACAAGGCAATGAATGTAAAAATTTGCTTTCTACTTCAGGAAATGTATACTGTTAATTTGTTTCGCCTATTGCAAAACTGTCTGATGTAGCATGAGAAAATATGGCATTTATGGCTATTGACAAAGCTTATAGTTACATCTGGAAATTTCCCCTGCCCTAGCGTTTTGATTCTGTTGATGTACAGGTATGCGCAGCAAACCGATGCAGGGCAGCAAACCAAGTGTCTTCTGCTCTCACCAAAGGCTGTGGTGAATGTGAAGCCAAACCTTCAGATCATCGCCGACGATGTCAAATGCACGCACGGAGCTGCCATCAGCGGGGACCTCGACCCGAACGAGCTCTTCTACTTCCAGGCGAGAGGCGTCGACGCCAAAACGGCGACCGACGCCCTGCTTTTCTCGTTCGGAGCCCAGGTGATAAACCGCATCCCGTTTAAGGCCGTCGAGAAGAAGGCTCTAGCACAGCTCAAGGAGTTGCTCGCCGTGTCAAGACAAAACAATTGATGAGGCCCTGAGGAGCTCTTTGAAGTGGTTCAGCGCTTTTTTTGGTCGAGGTGGAAAGAGCAGGGCGGGAATGCTTGGAAGCTTTGGCATTGAACAAGGTGAGCGACTACGACTGCGTATGTTGGCTGACTGCCGGAGGAAATACCACTCTAGTCCTTTTTCAGATTCTGCTTATTATTTGTAAATTACTTGTTTATCCCTGTCAAGAGGAAGAATACATCAAAGCTTCTTCCAAATAGATGTTTCTTCTGTTAGTGGCAAATGTAGTTTGTTTATCCCTATCATTGCTGTCGCCGACTCGTCGATGTTCCAGCCGGCCAGGCCCCCGAACAGCAAGTTTGCAGGTACTCCTCCGTTCCCTTTTACTCTGTGTATGAGATTGTTGTCGAGTCAAACTTTGCAGAGTTTGACCAAATTTATATAAAAAAAAAATCGCCTACAATACCAAATATGTATACTACTCCCTCCATTCCGAAGTACTTGTCGCACGTATGAATGTATCTAGATGTATTTTAGTTCTAGATACATCCATTTCAGCGACGAGTAATTTGGAACGAAGGGAGTATGAAACTACATTTCATAATGAATATGACGACATTCATTTGGCATTGTGAATGTTGATATTTTTTGTCTATAAGTTTGGTTAAATTATAGATACTTTAGACTTCGGACAAAACTTATATGCAGACAAAAAATGATCGGAGGGAGTACAGTACAGCGAATGGAAGCTTGCGCCACAGATCTGTCCGTTTGTAATAGTCCATAAAGGATTCGTTCTTTATGTGGTTTTGCCACCTGTTCTCTTCTTTTTGGGTTGCAACTGTCTGTTTGGGATAATAATACATCTACCGCAGATATGCAGTCTGGAAGGGTAAAACGAATGTACAGTGTTTTTTAGTAGCATCTTGTTTTGCATACCCACCTCTATCACTATGAATGCTTGGTTTGCTACACGAAGCACGTCTTCGGCTCAAATTTTCAGTGTCAGCAGACACTCCCGCCGACGAACTTGTACCGGGTGGGCGACAACTAATATTGATTGGAGGGAGTAGCTTTTTGTAGGGGAGCGACAGCAGGTAGATTGTTAAAGAAAATCAGGTAGCCAAGTCTGTAAAAACATTATATACTTAAATTTCGTCCAGGGAAAATTAGTGAACTTCAAAAAATGCAGAAAAAGAAAGGATGAAAAAAAGGGATACATGCTCTACTGCCGATCCGACACTGTCACGCACGCATGAGAAAATAAAACGGTTTGTAAAGAAAAAAGGAAAACTTGCGATGCAGATAAGCCATTGAGAGACAGCAGATCCCATATATTGATAAAGAGAAAAGGGAAAGAATGGTGGAAGTCTCCGTTGGCAAAAAACATAAAGAAAAGATAAGCCCTCTCTCCTGATTGAATCACTGCACATTTTGATCGGACGGTTCGACGTGTTTGGTTTGCTCGCATGATTTTGCCTGCATTGCATGTGTGTCTTAGTCTAGTCTGACTAGAAAAAAACATGTCAAACCCAACGTCTGCATGTTGTTTGGTTGCCTGCAGACCCTCTAGCCTGGCTGGGGCGAAATAAAAGGTAGGTTGTTTGGTTGCCTGTTTATTTAGACAGAAACACAAACCATGATGTTTGGTTACATGCAACGTACTAGGCAGGCGGAATAAACCAAAGACACGTAGATAGTGTATAAACATAGTTTTGTAGCAAACCAATCAGTTTTCAACATAGTACGACACTTAAACCAAGCAGTTTTCAACCAAACAAGTACGACATAGTCCAAATCAAATCAGCGCGTGCAACATAGAGCTCTCCTAGCGTTCATGATGGAGGTGTCATCATGCTTCCCGCACTTGGTCGCCAATTCAATGTTGTCGTCATAGAAGACGATCACCTTCAGGGTGCCGGGAGTCAGCAACTTGAAGATCATCACGTATCCGATCCCGATATTGTGAATGGCGGTGAAGGGGGCCCAACCCTAATCGAGGGTGACCCCGTCATTCATCAGCCGGACAGTGACCCTCCATGCGCAGCCGGTATTCGTCTTCAGCTTGAACTCCGTCAGCACGGCCGTGAAGTGCTTCATGAAGTCTAGGGGCATAGGCAGGCACTCGACCCAGCTTCGGGGCAAGGATCACCTTGCAGAAGTGAGTTGGCCCACCCTCCTCATGGTAGTGCCCGTAGTTCCGACGCTTGCTGCTGGGGGGCTCCTCAAACATCACATCCTCCACCGTGGGCGGCACCACCTCCTTGCCCTTGTTCTTCGTCTTGATCTACATTATGAACAACACAAAGTTCTGACTAGTAGAAAAATGGCTAGCCACAACTTCTGTTGGTGGCGCGCCATTTCCAATCAACACCAGCACTATATTTTAAAATAGTGGCGGTGTTGTACTTTCTTTTGTTGGAAATATGCCCTAGAGGCAATAATAAAAGGATTATTATTATATTTCCTTGTTCATGATAATTGTCTTTTATTCATGCTATAATTGTATTATCCGGAAATCGTGATACACGTGTGAATACATAGACCACAACACGTCCCTAGTGAGCCTCTAGTTGACTAGCTCGTTGATCAACAGATAGTCATGGTTTCCTGACTATGGACATTGGATGTCGTTGATAACGGGATCACATCATTAGGAGAATGATGTGATGGACAAGACCCAATCCTAAGCATAGCACAAAGATCGTGTAGTTCGTTTGCTAGAGCTTTTCCAATGTCAAGTATCACTTCCTTAGACCATGAGATCGTGTAACTCCCGGATACCGTAAGAGTGCTTTGGGTGTACCAAACGTCACAACGTAACTGGGTGACTATAAAGGTGTACTACAGGTATCTCCGAAAGTGTCTGTTGGGTTGACACGGATCGAGACTGGAATTTGTCACTCCGTATGATGGAGAGGTATCACTGGGCCCACTCGCTAGTGCATCATCATAATGAGCTCAGAGTGACCAAGTGTCTGGTCACGGGATCATGCATTACGGTACGAGTAAAGTGACTTGCCGGTAACGAGACTGAACGAGGTATTGGGATACCGACGATCGAGTCTCGGGCAAGTAACATACCGACTGACAAAGGGAATAGTATACGGGGTTGCTTGAATCCTCGACATCGTGGTTCATCCAATGACATCATCGAGGAGCATGTGGGAGCCAACATGGGTATCCAGATCCCGCTATTGGTTATTGACCGGAGAGCCGTCTCGGTCATGTCTGCGTGTCTCCCGAACCCGTAGGGTCTGCACACTTAAGGTTCGGTGACGCTAGGGTTATTAGGAAGACTTGTATGTGATTACCGAATGTTGTTCGGAGTCCCGGATGAGATCCCGGACGTCACGAGGAGTTCCGGAAGGGTCCGTAGGTAAAGATTTATATATGGGAAGTTGTCATGCGGACACCGGAAAGTTTCGGGGGCATATCGGTATTGTACCGGGGCCACCGGAGGGGTTCCGGGGGTCCACCGGGAGGGGCCACCCCTCTTGGTGGGCCACATGGGCCGCGTGGGGCAGGGAACCAGCCCCTGGAGGGCTGGGCGCGCCCACCCCTTGGGCCCATGCGCCTAGGGTTGGGGGAGGGAACCCTAAGGGGGGCGCACCCCCTTTGCTTGGGGGGCAAGCCCCCTCCCTGGCCGCCGCCCCCCCTCTAGATCTCATCTAGAGGGGGCCGGCCCCCTTCCCCCTTCCCCTATAAATAGAGGGGCGAGGGGAGGGCTGAACACCTGATCCAAGGCGCAACCCCTCCCCTCCCCAACACCTCTCCTCCTCCGTTGAGCGCTTGGCGAAGCCCTGTCGGAGTACTGCCTCTCCACCATCATCACGCCGTCGTGCTGCTGCTGGAGCCTTCTTCCTCAACCTCTCCTTCCCCCTTGCTGGATCAAGAAGGAGGAGACGTCGTCCGTACCGTACGTGTGTTGAACGCGGAGGTGCTGTCCGTTCAGCACTTGGTCATCGATGATTTGAATCACGGCGAGTACGACTCCATCATCACCGTTCCCTTGAACGCTTCCGCACGCGATCTACAAGTAGTATGTAGATGCAATCTCTCTCCCATGACTCGTTGCTTAGATGAACTCATAGATGGATCTTGGTGAAACCGTAGGAAAATTTTTAATTTTCTGCAACGTTCCCCAACAGTGGCATCATGAGCTAGGTCTATGCGTAGTTCTCTATTGCACGAGTAGAACACAATTTTGTTGTGGGCGTAGATCTTGTGAACTTGCTTGCCGCTACTAGTCTTTTCTTGCTTCAGCGGTATTGTGGGATGAAGCGGCCCGGACCGACCTTACACGTACGCTTACGTGAGACAGGTTCCACCGACTGACATGCACTAGTTGCATAAGGTGGCTAGCGGGTGTCTGTCTCTCCAACTTTAGTTGGAGCGGATTAGATGAAAAGGGTCCTTATGAAGGGTAAATAGAAGTTGACAAAATCATGTTGTGGTTATTCGTAGGTAAGAAAACGTTCTTGCTAGAACCCAATTGCAGCCAGGTAAAAGAGGCAACAACAATTAGAGGACGTCTAACTTGTTTTTGCAGCAATTGTCATGTGATGTGATATGGCCAGAAGTTGTGATGAATGATGAATGATATATTGTGATGTATGAGATCATGTTCTTGTAATAGGAACCACGACTTGCATGTCGATGAGTATGACAACCGGCAGGAGCCATAGGAGTTGTCTTTATTTTTTGTATGACCTGCGTGTCATTGAAGAACGCCATGTAAATTACTTTACTTTATTGCTAAACGCGTTAGCCATAGAAGTAGAAGTAGTCGTTGGCGTGACAACTTCATGAAGACACAATGATGGAGATCATGATGATGGAGATCATGGTGTCATGCCGGTGACGAAGATGATCATGGAGCCCCGAAGATGGAGATCGAATGAGCTATATGATATTGGCCATATCATGTCACTACTATATAATTTCATGTGATGTTTATTATGTTTTATGCATCTTGTTTACTTAGAACGGCGGTAGTAAATAAGATGATCCCTTATAAT